AGTGTCCAAAAATGTGAAGTACCTTAAAAAAATACTAGTGTAGGAAAAATCGAACTGGACCGATCAACCGGTCATGGGCCAATTCCAAGTAATTTGAAACCAGACTGGTTAATCGGTCCGAGCCGGTCAAATAAAAAAAAATATATAATGGGTCTAAAAACCCAAAACAAATCCAAAAAAAATAAAAAATGTAGGTTTTATTTATATTTTATTTTTACTTACAATTATCTTTAAAAATATATAGAAAATGTAATTTTATTTATATTTTATTATTACCTACAATTATCTTAAAAAAATAAAACTAATAAAAAGAGAAAAAATGAAGAGTTGAAAGAAGATGTGGTGGCCCACTGTACCCACTAGTGGGGTTGAGAGTTAAGATTTGAAAAAAAAGTGAGGCCTTCATTTTGGGGATAAGGTCAGATCGGATGAGTCATGTGTGAGGTAGGATAATGTAGGAATATGTGATATTATAATTTTGAATTTAGGCAAATAGGAAAAATGTGAAAAATAAATGAATAGCCCCTCCAACTAACTATCCCAAAAAGCGTAAAAAGTGTGAGCCCATGTGGACCACAGCATTTTAAGTGTAAAAATTAGAAAGAGATAAAGCAAGCCAGAGAGGGAAGTTAGAGAGAAGGCACCTTGCCCCTTCTCTCTGTTCTCTTTCTATCTCTCTCTAACTTCTTCTCCTTCTTTCTCTCTCTATAAAGAAAAGGAGAGAGAAGGGAAAGTGCCCACTTGCCCTTAAGAGAGAGAAGGGCATGTATCCTATTGCCAGAGAAATAGATAGGGAGAGAGAGAGGGAAGAGAAAATAAAAGAGTGAGGGGGAGAGGATATGATAGAGAGACGTTTAGAAAAAAATAAAAAGACAAAATCGGGCTTATACCGGCCAGTTTCCAATAAAACCAGGCTCGGTCCGTCCTTGGTTCCGATTAACTCGGCCGATTTTACGTTGGCCGGAATATTTTTCCTGCACTAGGAAATGTTCATATATATGATTTCACTTGAATAATATTATTTCAAAACTTAAAAAGAGAAAGAAAGAGTACTTTTCTGGTGAATGTTCCATAATTATGAGAAATTCTTTCGATGCATTGATGCATTTTTTTTATATAAGAATTTAAATATTATATTAAAACTAAAAAGAAATTACAGATTCAAAGAAAACCAACCAAAACGTTGGCTTCTCGGTTAACATACGCAAAAGAGAAGTTAAAAGGTCTAAAAAGGTCCAAATCTATACCAACACAGATCTCAACTCCCAAGGTGACTTCCACTCCCCTTTACACCAGTTAATGACATTCAAGGAATCACTTTTAATAATACAGTAAATTCCCAAATTTCTAGCCATGAAAAATTGCAGGCCACAAAGAAGTGCATAGAATTCTTCATAATTTGCAGTTCTCTTCCCAAGAGGGATTGCATAAGTAAAAATAATATTTCCAAACTAGTCTCTAACCACTCCTCCAAAGCCCGCTCAACCAGGTTCCCTAATGTACTAATAATGGGCTACCGACCTACCTTTAGATCTACATTTAATAAAACCCATCTGGAAAAGATTCGGTAGGTTTCTCTTAACATCCACTTCCGATATATCTTGTCCAACTTTTGTAACCGAAAGATAAGGCCAAATTGTGTGCAAAATCTTCTCTAAAATTCTCTCAAATGGCAAGTTTATCCCATAAAACAGTCACCTATTCCTTTGCTTCCATACCTCCCATAAAATCCTACCTCTCATGATTTGCCAGAGTACCAAACCTATTCGCGGTAAAAAGCAAGTGACAGATTTAAGAAAATTCCCTCAACTTTTGACGACATTACCATTGCAATCCCAAACTAAGCAAAAAACCAACTCCATATGCAATAAGTAAATGGAGAATAGAAAAAAAAGTTGAGCATCTGTTTCACATCCTCCCTACACAATAGATAGATATTTAGCAAGATCTTACCTTGATGAGATTATCAACAGTTAACGCCTTATTTTGTACTGCCAACCGTAAAAAAGCTTGCACCTAAACCTCCCTCTCTTTTAGGTGTGCACACCCTATCTCATCTAAGAAGATGATACTTTTTAGTATCCACCCATGAACCCCATAGAAAGTTTCTTATTAAAGTTTCGATTTTCCTGGCCACCAATGAAGGGATTTGGATAATAGATATTTAGTATATTGGTAAATTCGACAAACGTGCATTTACCAAAGTTATTCTTTCCCCCAAATAAAGGTATTTAAATTTCCACAAATCAAGCTTTACTTGGATTCTTTGGATAATTTTATCCCAAACCGCTAACGGGAGTCGACCATCCGAGATTGGCATCCCAAATACATGATTGAAAATTTATGCACATTACTCCCATCACTTCTGCAATTGCCCGAACCGCATCATCACTACAATTAATGCCAACTACCGCACTTTTCTCAAAATTAACCTTAAGACCTAATGCAACCTCACAACATCTCAAGAGAATGACAATGTTGATAATCTGATCAGCCTCACAGAACAATAAGGTATCATCTGCATATTGCAAATGAGATATGCAATGTCTCTCATTTGACATTTGGAAGCTTGAAAAATACCCCATCCTTTCAACATTTCTAAGAAGCAAACTAAAGCATTATGCATAATAGTGAAAAGAAAAGGGGAGATAATGTCACCTTGAAGAAGACCTCAAGATGCCTTAAAGAAACCAGTTAGACTTCCTTAATACATAATGGTAAAATGTGCGAAAGAAATACATCCAAAAACCCATTTTCTCCACTTTTCACTAAAACCCATGTTATTCATAATTTCTAACAGAATACTCCATTTAACCCTGTCATATGCCTTTTTTATATCCAATTAATGATCACCCCAGCACTACCGCTAAGAACTTTTGAATTTATACACTCCTGTACCACTATGACACTATAAAAAATCAACCTATCTTTGATGAAAGCTGACTGTGGACCTGAGATAATATAAGATAGCATCACCTTTAGTTGTTCCGCAAAGACCTTCGCCGCAATTTTGTAAAGACTTGTCAAAAGACTAATAGGTCTAATGTCTCTAAGATCAGCAATGACTGACTTTTTAGGAATCCGTGCAATAAAGGTGGAATTGACCCATCTAAAAATTCTCCCCTCCTAAAGAACCCTTTAGTCATTTCCAATAGCTTTTCACTAATCAAATTTCTAAACTTATGAAAAAATCATAAAGGAAAGCCATCATGACCAAGTGCTTTATCACCTAGAAGAGAAAATACTGCTTTTTATAATTCATCCATTGAGACATCTCTTTTCAAAAAAGGCAATAAATCTTACGGTAAGATATTAAATTCCACTCTAATCAACCGAGGGGTACATTTCACCTATGAGGAGAAAGCTTTTTGGAAATGATTGATGATGGCGTTAGACATCCCAAAGTAGTCATCAAGTCCATTTCATGGATCAAAAGGCCAGAAACATCATTATGACATATTCGCACATTTGTTGTGGAATGAAAAACTTGGTATTTAGATTCCCCTCCTTCAACCATTTTATTCGATATCTTTGTTTCCAATAAATCCCTTTAACCTTTCTAAGCTCTTGCAGTTCATTTGTTTTAGAACTTCTCTCCAAAGCTAGTTAATGGTGTTGTGTGCTATTGTGCCTAGAATATTATATGTAACCTGGCATTTATGGATGTTGATCTCGGGCCCCATCTACTCTCTTCAGTAAGACATATTTTCACTTCAGTAAAAAAGAAAGATGGACGTATTTTCACTTTAGCAAAACAAAAAATTTCATTGTCACAAGCTCCAAAGTTAGGTGTACCTGGGCAAGAGCAGTATTAAGGATCGTGACCTCTTGGGAACGAACGACAACAATCGTTTGATATTTTGCGTGAAAAGACCTAGTCATCTTGTGTGTTGCCCCAAGTTCGTTGGTGTAGTAGAGAACACGTATGCGGAGATAAATGGGAGTGGCCGGTGCCACAACTTGAGGTTTAAAATTTCATTTTCACGAAGTCCCGAGTCAACTAAAAGAGAATTGGGTATGGTAGTTGTGTGATAGATACATTAAGATTGACAATCTCGACCACATTTATGATGAATTTGAAAATAAATATTGATTTTTTTCTTATCTACAAAATAAAAAGTTTCGCATAAAGAAATGAAAGGTTCTTATCAATTCTTTTTCTTGTCAAAAAAATAAATGGTTTTTGTCAAAAAAATAAAAAATAAAACGTTATTGTCAAAAAAATAAAAAGTTATTGTCAAAAAAATAAAAAGTTCTTATAAAAAAAAATACAAGTATTTTTTGTCAAAAAAAGTCATTTCTTATTTTTGATAAAATAAATTCATATTTTTGTCAAAAAAACTCATTTCTTATTTTTGTCAAAAATACTATAAATAATTTTGTCAAAATAAGTTCATACAGAGAAAAAAAAAACTCAATATTCACATATTGATCAAAAATATGAAAATTAATAATGTAGTACTCGATTTCTTATTGGATTATTAAAAAACAACATCTATAATGAATTTCAATATTTTTTTTAGATTTTTTTACAGTATAATCCGACCGATTCATCTGATTTTCGATCCGAATCGCCGATTCACCGATCCGTTTTTTAGACCACTAGTTTGGGTACACATTAGAATACACGTTCTGCACCACCCAACTAAAGTAGAGGGTGCAGATAGCTTCAACATTACTTCTATAAGTATGGCGGCTACCTTACATACACTGCACAAAAAGAAAATTATGTGGGTGCAGCCGTGCGTGCGTACTCTGTTTGTGAGTGTAAAACAAGGACACTCCACAAACAGCACTTTATATTTATTTATAAAGTTTAAAGCTTAAAAAATAGTGTAGATCGAAAATGCAATGCAAAATAAACTATTTTCAAAACTTGAAATCTATTTTTTTCTCGTGTCCGTACTTATCGATATCAAAATAATCAATTTGAAGATATTTGAACATCAAAACAACGTGAAAATTTTTAAGTAGGCTCAAATTTGATTGTTTAGAGCCTCTATATAAACTTTTCCCTTTAGAGCTTTCACTCAAATGCAACTAAATCATCAAGGGTTTGAGCACATTAGAAGTGAGCAATAGGTAGAATAACTTAGAGATTATGAGTCAAACCTGAAAAGAAAAAGAAAATGAGAGAATCTTATGCGTCATTAAGGCCCTTGAAGAAGAGAGACTCAAACTGATGCATTTCTGAAGAACGAAGTGAGAGAGAAACTTGAACTCCACCTTCTTCATCTCTTGCTTCTGAAAGAGCGATCCCTCCTTCCTTATCAATGGATACCACCTCCACTCTCCTCGGCCTTCCCCATCCAAAATCCGTCTCGTAAACACCGAACCTCGGGGATCCGGCCACTGACAGGAACCCAGTGCCCACAAGCTCTGTAAACTGGCTCAGCCATGTCTTGGCACCCCCGAACGGATCGGCCCTCCCTTCGCGAATCACACTTCCTATGGCCTCTGCGGCCCAAACCAATGGCTCCTTCCCTTTGAGTTCCCGACCAGTCCCTTTAGCAATACAGCTGTACACGCAGTTTCCGAAGTATTGGTCTGTTACCTTGGGCTTCAGCTGAGAACGACCATCAGCAGGAAATGCGTACACCAGCATCGAGTCGTCTCCCAGGTTCCTCGCTCTCGCGGTACACACCCAAATGTGGGCCGATACGGCTGCAAAAGTCGAGGGCACGGCTGAGCCGCTGCTTGTAGCCTGTCTCTTTAGCCTTGCAATGCCATCTTTACCGATGAGGAAAGTGGCGCTCACTAGATCATTCAGCTTTGGGAACTCTGGGAATAATCCGACTCCTTCCTTTGATATCTTGTACCAATCAACATACCATTTACTGAGTCTGCCAGGATCCCTGAGCACAGAGCGGTCATGGTTCGGGTGGGAGGAGAGGCCCCCGGACCTACAAACCTCCGCCCACGCCTTAACAAAACTGATGAAACCTCGGCCATCCGCTGCTCCATGGTTGAATGACACTCCTATGCAGAGACCACCATTAGGAAACCCTGTCGCCTGTACAGACACCATGGGCGCCGGGAAACGCGCTGACAGAGGTGGGACTAGCAACTTGAAAATGGTTGTGTCATGGGCACGGCTCGTCACGAGAGCTTCATAATCGACTTCGGTTTCAGCCACATAGAATGCGACCCCATCTCCTTCTTTGTAATGAATCTCCAAGTGTTCGGAATCGGCCGATAGTGCGATTTTTCCGGCAAGTGGGTAGAAGTACTCGAGGACCAAGGAAAGGGAATTTTTTAGCTTGTCTACCAAGTCTGAGAAGTTGCTTTCCTGCTCAAGGGGATTGTAGAAGAAGATCCTTTGAACAGGGGATATAGGAAACCAAAACACATCTAGGAATGTGAGTTGTTGGGGCTCTTTGGGTACGCAAAATGGTGGTGGCGATACATTAAAAACATCAAGAACTCTAACAGCTGTAGTCATGGTGAATACTAAGCCAATGCTTTTGTTTTTTGCAATTTCGCCTGCAAAATATGAGTTACTGTCTTTAAATATATATTAAACTAAGAGGACTAGTAAGATTGGAAATATTTATGACCGACTTCGTGGCAAAAACAGCCTTCCAACTGGCCTTATTAACTACTATCCATTTTCACTTAATAGATAACTTAAATATCCATAAATTTCGTGAAGAAATGCGTGCCTCTTATGCCAGGAAGACATTATTGAAATAGAAACAAAATTATTGTATGAGAAAATTGGGATCATTCTTTAATGAATTTTCAGTAAAGGGTATTGTTGAAATAAAAAATAAATTAATGGGATTATTATTCAATGAATTTCATGTAACTGTTGAAAAAAAAAAAAATGAAAACAGAGGTAAGTGCAGTGGTAAAACAAACAAAACTATAAAAAGACAAAAATACTGTAATTCAAGCAAAAATAATAAAAAATGTGTTACTTCGGTTAAGTAAACAAGGCAAATTATTTCTTCAAGACCACGTGGGCTTATCCTTGCGCCCGTGCCACGTTTTAAGACTCTTCCAAAAGAATTTTCATACCGACGGTTTTCTTTTATAGAAATTAGTTTTATTGTTTTAAAAGAATCGATGCTCCCTCGGGACCTCTATCTAGAATTACACTGTGATAAGTATTTTATTTACGAGTATTTGTAGGAAACCAAAATTTGGATGTTTGAAGTCCTTACCAAACCCCTCAACGTACTAATGGCACTCTTAAAAGCCCCAAAATTTGGGTTCTTAGCCCTCCATTCAGAATAGATGATGGATAAGGGGAACTATATTAATTTTATTCAATAAGAGAAGCATAGAAAACTTGCTCTACAAATACTCCTAAATAGGGTTTCGTATTGTCTATAAAAGAGATCATTTGACATTTTATATAAAGACGTCACAACTATTTTCAAGGTGTCAAATTGAATGGTTTGGGGTGAGTCAATCGTCCAAGAATTTTTTTTTGGAACTTTGTGTCTAATCAATAGCACATTTACATCAACCCATTTTGAAATCTACGGGACATGAATAATTGTGATCTTCTTGTATAAAATTTAAATGGTCTATTTTGTAAATAATCCCATAATCTTTTGTTATTAGAATTTATTACAAAAAATAGTGACTAATTAGGATTAGGCAGGGCACTAGACCAGTGAAGGGTTTGGTTCATTCAAAATCGGTTGGTTCGTGAATTGAACCAATTAGATCAAGTTTTTAAAAAATAAAAAAATAGGTAGAATAATTTTAAAAGAAAAATGACCAACTTTTTTTAACCGGTTCGATTGGTCAAAATCAGCCCGTTCGATCAACCAAAATAAGCTATGTACCAAAATAAGCCAAACATAGCGTTTTGGCCGGTTTTCAACCAATCAAAGTATCATTTTCTACCGATGCCAAAGAAGGTAAGAAATAGGAAAATGCTTTAGTTGAAGGAAAAAGTTTATTTAATGATGCAACCTTATAATGTAGAACTACAGATGCACCTCAAAAACCCATCGGAAAAGATAGTTTTAATGTTGAAAAACCCTTTGATTGATCATCTCGACATCGAGATGTATGACCATGAAAAATAAAAAAAATTTAAGTCTCAGAAATAGTGCATTTTACAGCATATTATCTACACCATCCATTTTCAAGATTTTCATATGTTTATAGATCTACTTGATTTTAACAATTTTTGAAATTTAAAATTTTATAATTAGATATAAAAATAGATTGTGAGATAATCCTAAAAACATTTTACATCAAAATTATATACCATGGTAAAATTTGAAGATGCTCCTTACCTCTACGGCTGCGGATGCATCCGTATGCCAACTGCACCCTTACTCTACAGCTACGGATGCATCCGTATGACAACTGCTCCCTTAGTTGAATGGTAGTTGCACCTTAAATAGACGAAAAGAGAGATTGAAAAGCTGTTTCAGATAAGGAATATTTTTAGGACCTCAAGTTTTAAAAATGTAACCTCTCAGATCTAGTCATTAACCTCGGAAGAAAATTCAATCGAACCTAAAGAAAGTAATATCCCAAGATTGAACAGCCACTGTCTAATTTCTAGAGGGCAAGATCTAATTTGAACAAATAAAAGTTAATTTTTAAAAACAATCGTCCATCAATAATTCTATGGATCCCAAAATTTTAGGTTAAAACAATTGGTCCAAGAAGCTCTTTTACCTGATAGAATAAACATACAGTAAGTTCCCATGGGAATATAAAAACTACCATTTAGTATTTAATTGCGTACAGATATGTCACGAATGTCGTCATCTAAAAACAAGACGAAATTCAAGACGAAAACTTTCTCGAGTCACGTGGTAAAATATCAATCTCAAATACGGCTTAATGTTTCGTCTACAAGTTCAATGCATACTTGTTTCCATGTTCAAAACACGAAAATGGACTTTTATGACTTTAAATTTTTTAAAGGAAAACGTTTTTGTAAAGAAGTACGTAAAGGACCAGGCTTATTAGGATATGAAGTTCATTCATCTCATACGATTCTATTGGCTATCCATTCCTTAGGTGAGAATTTTCCAACATTTATTATTATTGGAAAAAGGGGAAACTTCTCCAAAGGGTACTGTATTGACTTGTCTTAATCCATTTATGGGTCAGGTGACTTTAGTTCACAATTTGATCTCCACTATTTTTTTTTTTTTTTTAACATGTTCTTTTTTAAGTGAATCTCTTCTTTTGTTTAGTAAGATGGTAGCAATAGGAATGGAGGGTGGGACGTTATGTTCAGGTATCAGGCACCCTAACGATCGATGCCCCAACTCCATGCCTTTTGATCTCCATTCATTTGAATACTTTACATAGGATAGCAAGCTTCAATGGGGTTTTTATGAGCCCGTTGACCATAGGTTCATATGAATGCCTTCAAAAACAAATTTAGACCATTCATTTTGTGAATTTCATGATCTTAGCCCTTATAAATTCAAAATCATTCTTTTCTTTTTTAACATTGTTCATCTAATGATAATAAAGTTATCCAAAAAAATTGAAAATGAAAAAATCCTCTTAATGTCTAGATCTAAGCATCTCACAAAAATGAACAGCTTATGTTAATGGGGGCTAATAAATTACTTTTTAGGTTGTGTTTACAATTTTTTTTTTCATAATTGTTCATAAGAATAAAAAGAGTGTATATTTCAAAATGGAAAACGACTTTGTGAGACCCTCCTACACCCATGTATATAAGACCCCAAAGGATCATCATTAATTTGGCACAGATATCTAGAAAAATCAAGTCTCACACTCATGTGATAACTTTTCTAGAGATCTATGTCAAATTTAATGATGATAACAATTTAGATCAAACAAATGGCCATAAGATAATTTTTTAAGATTGTTGCATCATATTAGTATAAAAAAAAAAAGAATTTTTGAGCTTGTCTACCAAGTCTGAGAAGTTGGTTACCTGCTCAAAGGGATTGTAGAAGATGACCCTTTGAACAAGGGATACGGGAAACCAAAACACATCTAGGAATGTGAGTTGTTGGGGCTCTTTGGGTACGCAAAATGGTGGTAGTGATAAATTAAAAACATCAAGATTTCTAACAGGTGCGGTCATGGTGAAAACTAAGCCAATCCTTTTTTTTTTTTTTGTGTAATCTTGCCTACAAAATATTAGATGAAATATATATTAAACTAAGAGGACTAGTAAGATTGCAAATATTTATGACTGACTTCGTGGCAAAAACAGCCTTCCAACTGGCCTTATTAACTACTATCCATTTTCACTTAATAGATAACTTAAATATCCATAAATTTCGTGAAGAAATGCATGCCTCTTATGCCAGGAAGACATTATTGAAATAGAAACAAAATTATTGTATGATAAAATTAACATAAAACAAAAAATGGGATCATTCTTTAATGAATTTTCAGTAAAGGGTATTATTGAAATAAAAAATACATTAATGGGATTATTATTCAATGAATTTCAGGTAACTGTTAAAAAAATAAAAACACTGAAAACAGAGGTAAGTGCAGTGGTAAAACAAACAAAAATATAAAAAGACAAAAAATACTGTAATTCAAGCAAAAATAATAAAAAAATCTGTTACTTCGCTTAGAAGTAAACAAGGCAAATTGAACTTTCCTCACTACTTTCTACAAGACCACGTGGGCTTAGCCTTGCGCCCTTGCCACGTTTTAAGACTTTTCGCAAACGTCTCCTTCAATTTTCATACCTCATCCATGCTGGGTTTTTTTTTATAGAAATTAGTTTTAATGTGTTGAAAGAATCAAT